TTGTTTCCTGTAAGAATCTGTTCTACAGGGTAACTGTGTAAAGCATTTGTTTATGGGATACACTGAGGACTGTGTCCTCTTAAAGGCTGCATAAAGAGTCTATTGAATGTTGCTTTCCTCCTCCAAACAAGCAGTTTCTCAATAGTGTTGCCTAGTGCAAGTGTGCAGTTGCCATGGTGCTCACTGATAGCAGCATGTGAAACCAACAGACCTCTATCAGATAAAGATGTCTAAATGCTCTCCAGCACAGTTAAAAAGCAAAACTAGTTATAAGAATGTATTTGTTGAAATAAAATGTGTGTATTCGTAGGGTTGGTCATGCCAGAGAGGTTTCTCAGCTGCGTGGAAAAGTGTCTCAGCTACAGACAGAAATGGACATCCTCAAAAGACAGCTAACCACTGAGCGCTTTGAAAGGTGAGACCCAGGCTTTTACTAAAACTACTCAACTTGCTTACCATCATCGGACCATTTGGAATAGTCTACATGGTCGAGCTGTACGGTTAATCCTTAAAAGAATGCAATCTCGATTCAAACACCCACACGATGTCATTCCTAATTGACAACAATTCTGTGTCTATAGACCTTATTCAGAGCAGCGCCATGACAGGTATGAAAGTGAGGCTGTGAGGGATAGATTTACGGTGTTTCCAATGGCATCCGCTGTAAAAAGCGGAATAAAGCTCCTAGATTACTTACAATTTTCCACAGCTTACATTGTCAGGAGTTTTTTGTCAACTGACATTTCTTTGAAAGATATTTTTCCAGTGTTTCATGAGCAGAACAATCCGAAAACACATTAAATAACAATACAGCCCATTGAAGAGATGCAAGTCTATCCCTCACAGCCTCGCTTTCATTCTCATTAAAAATCAAAGATGGCGCTGCCGTGAATAAGGCGTATTAAACCTTTGAGTAAATCACAGCAGACCATTCAAATCTGCGTGGGTGCTGCCGCTGAGCCAGAGAGAGCAGTTGTCATGTATAAGCATAAAACAGCTTCAGTGTTTTCAACCACACATTATTTCTGTTACAAATATTCATATTATCACAAAAGACTTGAGATAAAAGTATATAGCTCTTTAAACCCTGATATCTACAGACGTGATCAAATTAGAGGAAATAAGATTAATAGATTGGGGTCGATTGCATCGTTACACCACCAGATGCTGCTAAAAGATTTGTCATTTAATCATTCAAGAGATTCATCTAAAAAAAAAAAAGCTGATTTTTTTTTTTTGTATTCAGATTCATCGAACATTTTAAATAGACTGCAGTTTACATGTTATTTTTTGTTTAGTTGTCTGTACTGAATCGTTTTGAAAACAAAAAAATGTGATTCTCAATTTATCCAGAATCTACATGAACATAGACAAATAAAAGATGATGTTAAAGACATAATATCCTAATAATAAGCATCAGTCTGAATGAAGCAAATAAAAACATTTTAATGACACTCAACTATTTTAGTAAATACATTTCAGTATTGAAAGAACTTCAAATTTTAGAGGTTGTTGTTTTTATGTGTGTGTGTGTGTGTGTGTGTGTGTGTGCCTGCTATGATCTTGCTATGTTGGTTTGTGAAATGTTGATTCATTTGTGCACGTTTTTTTCTGTGGTAGGGAGAGAGCTGTGCAGGAAATGCGCAGACAGGGCTTATCTTTCTCTTCACTGCGAAGCTCTTCTCCTCACAGCACCTCTCTCAGTCCCCGGCCTGCTTCTCCTGAGCGTTCCATCCTCCGCACACCAGAGCGCTCCGTAGACAAGACGTCAGAAAAGTGAGGATGGCCTTGAGAAACTGCAGCAGACATCATTTCTTGTGTGATATTCATAACCATGATTGTATGATTTAAAATAACCTTGTTTAACTTCACATTTCAGAAGTGTGAGCTTTAAGGAGTAGCGGCCAAGGAAATGGTTCACGCAGCCTGTCACATTTGCGCTGACATAAAACAGGGATGTCGTGTGAAAGATTCTTGTTTAGTCAATTCTGAAGAAACTTTGTGTTGAGTCAGAAATGTCTGTGAGATCAGTCCAGAAGATATTTTCTTGGGCTTCTAAAAGTGAAGTACTTGTACAATTATTTAAGGTCAAAGGAAAAATTATGCCACCAAAGCCAATGTGTAGAGCAGTGTTGAGGATATACATATTGTAACATGAAATCATTTTTTATTGCAGTAGTCGTAATGTCATTATTGTTCTTAATAGTTTTGGACTTTTGAGGCAGCTTGTCATCTTTACATGGCAGACCTTTTTTATAACAAGTTAAACTAAAGATTAAAACTGTTCTAAAATATGCCTGAAGTGAAATAAAAGTGACCAAAGAGGTCTTCGGAAAGTGGATTTTGCCATGTTACTCAGGACTGTGTTATCACACTACCACTCCAACCTGTTTTATGTATGTATAATAGAATTTATGTTGTCTGGTTAACTTATTAATAAACATGAATAGTTTTTAATATAATCTGTCATTGTCTGCTCTGTGTACGGTTTCATGTAATTATTTTCTCTGCCTTTGGATATCAGAGTGAAATTCCATAAAATCAATCACTGTTCTTTTTTCTTTATATAATAGGAGAGGACAAAAATCATCCAAGTAAATGTATTCAACATACCTTCCTTAAATTGTAGTTCTTTCTTTAGCTTTTATTTTATGTTGTTAAAAGCATGTGAACCCTGTAAACTTAAAGGAATAGTTCACTTTGAAATTATTTTTTAAAATGTTGTAGCTTACCTCAAGGGCATCCAAAATGTAGGTGTCTTTGTTTCCACAGTATTTACCTCTCACTAAATATATTTAGATATACAGGAAATCGCAATGGAAGACGATTTCGGTATATCTAAATATGTTTAGTAAAAGGTAAAAGTTCCGACATCTCCGTGTAAATATTGAGTGACCTACACACGCAAGTGATCACTTCCGGTGGAACAGGATTCAGTTCGGTTCAGTTCAATTGGACATTGCAGTTGATTCAGATCACTTGGACGGGACCGTGATTACACGAGGTAAAAAATATAATTACTGTTAATTTTCTCACACAAACTGCTCGTTTCGTGTCTCAGGTCATCAATGTCGTGTACTTACATTTATGAGTCATTAAATCATGTTTAATTTTGACTTCTCTGTTCATGCTCTTTGACGTGGACCTGCACTATATGACTGGCAGACAACAACGGTTTGACTGAAAAATGTCAAAATTGAAAATACTGTGGAAATAAAGACACCTACATCTTGATGGATGCCCTTGAGGTAAGCTAAAACAAATTAATTTCAAAGTCAACTATATCCCTTTAACAAGATAGGCGTGCTGAACATTTCCCCCCATTTTGAATGTTTCATCTTATTTTGATACGTAATTAATTGTAGTGCTTAGCTGCTTGCTAAGCAATGCTATTGCTCATATTCAAGTATAAACTAATTTTGGACCATTTGCTACACACTAGAATGACACTTCAAATCACGCGGTTTGTTAGTATGCTATGTGCAATTATCAAACTATTCTTGTTCAGGGCTAGCAATAAAACAATCCCAGCAGAGGAATAACTCAACCAGTATTGAGACGTGAGGTGTCAGCTCTTGACTTGAACCACAAAACCCACAGAATGTCACACAGGATGTGTTTTTGCATCAAAGTTTACGCAGTGGAATGAGCGAAAACATATGGTCTTACTATATTTTTTTAATTTTTGTTTTGTTTTTTAAGTTAAACTTTTAAGTAATCTTTAGCACTGCGTTTTTAGGATGGCCTCATGCACGAGGCGCTAGTTGAATACACTACGTTAGTTGAATACATCCGTCTACTCTAGACGTGACATGGAAATCAATGGAAATGCAATCACATTTTCTGTGTGGATGGCCTCTATTAACTCATTGGCAATGCACTAAAAACTACTTGGATAGGTCTGGGGAACAAAAAAAAATATTTCAGGAACTTTGTAACAAAAATTAATATTCACAGAACATTCTGGAAACCAAAAGCTGTTGGCTACTCTGACAACCACTCATAACATCCTAGCATGGCATGGACAAATAAACACCATTATAAAGGTGCGTTCACACAGCAAGAACTATGTTGGCATCAATACCAACCGATGATGGCGTTCTGTTACTGTAAGCACACTGCAGTTATGTTGTCTGCCCCTTTAAATTCTTGAGTTCTTCAAAGCCAGATAGATTCTGATTGGCTGTCAATGTTTTTCATTATTCATCAGCTGAAATATACAGCTTTCCAACAACATTGTTAATATAGTTGTGGTTTAGATTGTGCTATTCTTTGACGACTTTAAAAAATGTGCTTATTGTTATAGTTTTTGGCATGTACGGCTCTTAAGTTTACTTTTAGTATACCCGTGTATTTTTCCAGACTGCATTTTTCTATTCATATGTTGTGTCAATGCAACATGACATCATGACTTTTGCGTAAACATATACGCCACTTTCGAGTCAGGTGGCGTGTGTTATCTCTACGCATTTTGAGCTATCCGCGTGTATGCATGTATGTCTACGCCATTAACGTCCGCGTCATTCCGCGTGTCTGTACACGCAGTCAAATCTCCAGTCAAAATGCCATTAACCCCAGTGACAGTTAGGTTTAGGGACGGGGTTGAGGTAACTCGTATATTTATATAACATTAAGTCAACGGCGTTCATAAACACGCTGAAAGGCGATTATGTGTCTTGATAGCACGCCAAAAATGGAAATACGAATTGGCGTGTCATACACACGCTACTTCATGAGATCAGTCTGGTCAATGAGTTATTAAGTAGAAATCGAATAAGAATGATTCGCTGAATAAAGTTGACGATACTCACGTTTCGGCTTTTGGGTGTGAACTGAGCTTTCACTTAGAGCTTTCAGTTTCACTGCTTTCATTAGATTCTTTTTTTTTTATTTTGCCTGTGGGATTCAAAACACTTTTAGCTTGTTATTAGCTGTTCTGTTACAATAAATATTATGCTCCGTCCAAGAAAAGAAAAAAACAAAAACATAATTCCAGCCTGTGGATTTCTAAGATTTTTTATTTCCTCATTGTACAGTACTTCTGCTTTTGGATGTGAAACTGCATTCTTTAGAACCTCTTTAGGGATTCAACTCAGAGCCTCATCTTTTCAGAGGAAGCAGCAGATGGGAAGGGTTCAAGTTTGTGGTCAAAAATATTTGTTTTGGTCGTATGAAATAACACTGCGGAACGGTTCATTACATACAAACAGGAATTGCCTCAAGAAATTTTCTAACAAATTTTCTCAATTCGAGCATCACGTTTCATTTGTGTAAAAGGATTAAACAAATCAACAAAGAAAACAATGGGGGTGACAGCAGAATTAACTATGATTATTAAAGTAAATGAAGGAAAATAAAATGATGGAAGCATCTGCTTACTGATATAAAACACATAATAGTCTTGCGCACAGCACAATGTTTTTCATTTTATGCCCATATGGACATAATACTGCATCTCATTATAAAAAATTAGCTTTTCCAGTTTTAAATAGTGGTTTGAACTTAAATACCTCTCAAAAACTACTGAGGGTTTTATATTCAAATATTTATTAAATTCTGTACAGGTAAAAAAAAAAAAAAAGATTTAAAATCTTAACATATTGAAAGATTACAGTCTTATAAAGCAGGTATAAACCAATGTCTTTGTTAATGCCTACAATATTCAGTGGTTGTGTTGGGTAAAGGATAACCGAACAGAGAAAAGTCCAGAATATATTTGGGCAGAAGATCTTTGAGGAACTTCTGTGGCACAGTGCAAAGGTAATAATGTAGCGTTTCTTTGGTGACTGGTTTGTACCACGTCTGTCGTTCAGGAAAACCTATGTGCTGCGGTGCTCCAACACGTTCCAGAACGTAAGCCGCATCGCTCTCCAGCCTTTCGTACGAGCCAATGAAGTCATATTCTATGGCACAGGGTTGGCATAGGTTGTAGATGGGCATCCAGTGTTCATTCATCCTCTCCGGGTCTTCATCAAGTAAATAACGTACAAACTCTGTGAATGTCACGTCATTTCCTGCTATTTTTTTATCCTTCGCGTAGCCTTTTCTATAGCGCCGTATAATCTCTGCACCGTATTTACGCTGATACGCCTCGATTTCGCCAAACTTGTTCCGATATGCAGAAAGCAAGCGGGCCATCGGCTCCCGCACAAACATGAATTTAAAATAATGGCGTAATCGATGACGAATCTCTTCTGGCGAAAGGTCAGACAGGAAGAGTAAATCAGCACGATGATCCATCTTCACTTTGACGTCCACGTTGGCTAGAGCGCCACTCAGTACTTTCAGCACTCGTTTCCAATTGGAACAGGCCACTTTGGGGACGTAGCAGTACAGGAAGTGATGCTCGTCATTCACTAGTATGTGCTGAAGGAGAGTCTTCCTCTGCAGCGGACTGAGAGACCACACACTGTGAGCCGTGTTCTTCTGACCGCACATTGATCTTATGGTGCGATTACGGATCTCCTGTACAATCTGGGGGACAGACGCATATACAAATTTAGCACAAAATAAAGACATGAAAACTTGAATGCAGAAAGTGTCAAATTTTCAATCTGTAATAGTTATACCAAAAATATAGACACTATATGAATTTTGCTGTGGAGAGAGAACAGATGTAGTTTCGAGGCGCAGGAAAGGTTAAAGTTGTTTTGTGATGTTGTGTATCGTATACCAACACGTTCTTTTACAAAATTACATTTACTCTGGACATTCATCATCATTGGATCATATCCTGCGCTGAAGGCTTATTCAGGAATCATTTTTTAGGATACAAGCACAAGGAAACTTGCAAAATCTTGCAAAATATATGAATGAGTGTGTTCACTTTCAATGTTAAAAAAATCAACAGTGAAATTATTATAAGCATTGAATAGAATACCATGTATATTAATTGTACAATATCGTCATTTTACTTTAATCAACATCACAATCTAATAATCTAGATTTCATTACAGTGCTTGAGCGAGCTGAAGGTAGCTGAAATGTCATGTGATTGTACGCTTCTGTCAAGTGCACAGCAGGAATCTTAACTTCAAAGAATTGGCCCAAGTTTCCATTTCATATCTTGGCTTGAAGTTAAGCAGTTGTTTAATATTTTCTGGAACGAAATATGGAGTTTCTCGTACCATCAAAAATGCTTTCCATATGCTAAGTTTAGCCAAGTCCATCTTATCTACCAGATGAGTAATAATAGGTCAGAATAATAGGAGTAATAGAATATAAATAGTATAAATCGGACTTAACGCCTTAAAATCACTACTTTACTCAACTGTCCAGGAGTTACAGAAAAAAACTGCTATAATGCTAGAGGAAAAGATGTTGAGAACTTTTCCACTGAAAAAAAAAGCATGATTACACATTGACTATCTGAATGTTTTTATTTCTTTTCTTGCTAGTTACTCGAGAGTAGTGCACTAGCTAGGCTGGGCAAATAAAGAACAAGACATTTTAGGATTATTTGGGGTTTTAACAGGAAAACTATCATCAAATGAAACCTAACAAACTTCAAACTCGATTGAAAAGTGTGTTTGTGCGTTATTTATTTTTAAATGATCACTTTGTCGTACATTTATAGATTTGTAAAGCAAATATATTCATACATTGTGTGGGTAAAGGGTCAAAGTCATATTTTTTGACACCGTATATGACCTGTCTCAAAACTGCCATCCCCCAATGTTTAGGTATGCAGCTCATTATGTTTTGACTTGCCGGAGTTAATGATGTGCAGTCTAGACTCGCGAAACTCAAAGAAAGTCTGATTATTACATGTAAACATACAAAAAATGTTGATGAATTTCACAAAATACGTCGCTGTGTTCATTCACATTCTAATGAACTTGCGTCTCCTCGCCTACATTACCTGAGACTCCACGTCCACAGCTGCGTCGCTACTCCTCATTCGGTACTCCACTTTCTTCCCGTTGGCTCGTGGCGGCGGAGTCTGCACGCTGTTCAGCATTCCTTTCTCTATCATGAGCAACAGGCCTCCGGATGCCACGATCACGGCGAACGTCAGCACCGAAGGCACGACAGCAGAGTGTCTTCGCACGGTGGTCGCGCTCACGGGCGGTCTGAAGTGGATCAGGGATCCGCTCGCTCGTTTAATCTCGTACTCCTTCTTGCGAGGAGGCATAGTGAATCACATGCATTAAAGAGTCCGTCCGTTTGTCGAGGCACAGTGAGTGACTCAAAATACAGAAATTGATCAACACACATCCATCGCTTCAGGGAAGCAACCAACTCTTCTGACTTCAGATGGAAGAAGAAAAGGCTGCGCTATAGTATGGGGGTTGGGTAGCAGCAGATTTCGGGGGAAACTAGTCACAACTTCCAACTAGTGGTGGAGCACTTGAAAGTAGAATTCTTAAAGGGACAGTTAACCCAAAAATGAGAACTTATTAATTACGCACGTTCCAAACCCGGAAGACTTTCGTCAATATTCGAAACACAAATGAAGAGCTTTTGATGAGATTTTAGATCTCTGTCCCTCCATTGATGACTGTACACTACCAGTGCGACAATTCAAAAAAGTTCACAAAGAGATCACAAAACTTTTCCGTTTATGAATTGAGAGGTTTGGTCCAAATTTTCAATTTTTTGAAATTTTCCAAATATTTTCAAATTTTGGTTCAAATTTAATAAACTCGAGTGAACATGATTGAGCTTGCTTACCACAACTGATGCGAGTTCATGAATGTTTATATGTGAATAAATTCAATCATATACAGCGATCGTGTCTCTTCAGAATATTTGGACAAAACCGCTCAATTTATGGGTGTTTTAAGATCTCCTTTTGAACTTTTTAAAGTGACATAGAGGTAGTTGTGTTGCTGTCAATGGAGGGACAGAAAGCTGTCATATCTCAGTCCACCTCACAACTATGACATCGATAACAACACAGAAGAACAACATTATTGTAGTCACTTAAGATTCAGGTTAATTTTTTTTATGAACAATAGAGACATAAATCAGAATCAGACAACAGAACAGCATGGTCTGGACACTAATATTGTTGTTATTGTAATTGGCATGAAGTGAACAGACGACTATCTGCTGTATAATCAACAATACATTACAAGAATAACGAAATAAAGAAAATTTACTTTAAAAATGATGCTTTATTTCTTTCATATGACTCCAGGCCGTTTATTTTGTGATTTTCTTTAAAGAACATTCTCATACTCATCAGCATTCATGTGCATGAAAGATCAGCAACACACATTTTTAGTGTTGAGTGTAATAAAAAAAAAGTCCAGTCATTTGCGATTCACTAAACTAAAGTTATATGAAGCATTGTTGGTTTTCAGTGTTAGTTCCCTTAAATGCACTATAATATATGTACAAATTAAGCACTCATTCTCTCCCTCTCACTCACTATGACTCAGCTTCCTGTTTTAGTGGGACTGAGCGATACTGGAGAAGTACTCCAGCATGTCTTGAATGGTGAACTCCATGGTGATGCCAGACCCCGGGTAGCAACGGTTTATCAAGCCCTCAAAGTGCTTGTATTGCCGAATGAACTCGTCCTGCATGGAGTGCCAAACAACCTAATGGACAGATCAAAGATCACATTTAAACTGACATTCTCAAGAATCTCAAAAGATTATGAATCCTACCATAATCAATTTAGCCATTTAGGGTTTCATTATTTGACTGTTGTTCTTTTTCACCTGTAACAGACTCTCCTCCTCACACAGGTGCTTATCCACCTTCCTGTAGAGGTTGTCCAGGCCCTTTTTCACCTCTTTGCCAGGGTATTCTTTAATAACTTTACGCAATTCCTGTTTATTGAAGGCCAGTTGGTAGCTCACTTCTTCTTCTCGCACGCCCTGGGCTACGCGAGCCTCTACACCCTCAAAGAAGTGCTGCAAGATGTGAAGACAATTAATTAATGGTCCAGGACACTTATTACACTCTAATGCAAAGATGAAGACTCATTTACACAGATGTACTGGAAAACTTCTCAATCCAGGTTTCCATAAAGATTTGTCTCACATTTAGTTTCTCCAGCGGTTGACCCAGTGAGTTGATGACGTAGGACTGCAGATGATCGGTGTATTTCTGCTTGGCGTCCTTTCTCTCTGCCTCCAGACAGGAGATCTTGAGGCTGGACAGAGTTGAGAAGATATGGTGGAAGTTCTCCATCATCACCACATTAAGTGGAGTCTTCTGGCTTTCACTGGCCACTTTCTCCACTATGGATACACAAACAGACAAGAGTGTGGAAAACAAACGATATAGCAAAACCGGAAATATTCAAAATCTAAACCTGATTACATATAGTATATAAAGAAAACATCAAATATTTTCCATAACTCTAATACAGTCACAATGTTCAACAATGTTAAGTACCATTAGTCTGTTGCATCAGAATAAAAAACTAAAAGAACTCTGGTTTTCAATCTTTATATTTCAAAAAATGTCTGAAGCATAGCAATTCAAGTGATTTAGAGCTTCTCCTGCATTCTCACATCTAATCAAGATTTACTAAATGTATGAAAGGTCTGGTTGGTTATGACCCTCACCATTATGGAACACGGCTTTGATGAGTTTGATGTAGGCTTTATCCAGATCACCCCGTCGCTCTGCGTTTCGGAAAATAGCCTCAGCCAGCTTGGCAAACTCCTCAAAGCCAGTGACAAACGGCAGAATGCCCACTTTACTCTTCTTTGAAATCTTCACTTCCTCCATCTGACGAATCTGGACCAACTGAAAGAGCAACAGAAACATCAGAAGATTCAGATGCTTGTCTCAACATCAATAAAAAGATGCTTATCATGAGCTCAACTTACGATGCATTTATCAAAGTTTCTCTTGACAGTGACCAGCACATTGCCCAGTGTTGTGCTGAGATATGAGGCGGGATCGACATTTTCGGCTGTCCAGACGTGGTGACTCATCTTCACAAGCATGTAGAGTGAGTTGAAGCTGTCTATCTTGTCACCTAAAGCTATCAGACTGTTCAGCTCCGTCTCGATGCTCTGAAAGATCTTATTCATCATCATCCGAACCATGTCCTTACTGCAAGAGAAATGGATGTACGATCATTTTTTGCATTTGAAGGCTTTTTTGATCTGACTGTTAAATGGATGACTGATAGAAAGAGACTGATAGAGCTCAAGAGAACTGTGACTCACTCAGATATTGAATATCTATGTTCACTGGTGGGTCTGGAGTGCACTGTTCCATCGGTGTCATCCACATTCTCTGCCTAATGAGGCATTTAGAACATCATTAAAGGTGACATATTATGCCGCTTTTCACACGATGTAATATAAATCCAACATGATATCATGACTTTTGCGTAAACATATACGCCACTTTCGAGTCAGGTGGCGTGTTATCTCCACGCATTGTGTGCTATCCGTGTGTATGCGTATATGTCTACGCCATTAACGTCTGCGTCATTCCGCGTGTCTGAACACGCAGTCAAATCTCCAGTCATAAATGCCATTAACCCCAGTGACGGTTAATTTTAGGGATGGGGTTGAGGCAAGTCATATCTTTTTTTTACCTAGGATGGTAAGGGAACAGTCATAAATGCCATTAACCCCAGTGACGGTTAGGTTTAGGGACGGGGTTGAGGTAACTCATATATTTATATAACATTAAGTCAACGGCGTTCATAAACACACTGAAAGGCGATTATGTGTCTTGATAGCACGCCAAAAATGGAAATACGAATTGGCGTGTCATACACACGCTACTTCATGAGATCAGTCTGATAAATCTATGGGGTCCCCAGAATGTGTCTGTGAAATTTTAGCTCAAAATACCCTCCAGATCATTTATTATAGCTTGTCACATTTACCCATTTTTGGGTGTGAGAAAAAACACTCTGTTTTTGTGTGTGTCCCTTTAAATGCAAACGAGTTTCTGCTCCCCGCCCACATTCAGAAGAATACAGCAACAAAACACACAAATAATCTTACTCATCTAAAATCTCAGAAATATCCAGTCGCAGAGTGCAGCCTTACAGAGAGACTGATGCTTTCACATGCTTCGGTAATTATGATAAATGCCAAAAGCCGACGTGTAAAATGCACATGAACACCCTCTCATGTGGTATTTTCCACTGGGCAGCTCGTAGAATATTTTGAATCACGAGTTGCCACGATGAGAAACCTTGGATCTTTCATAACCGGCTAGCAGTCAATATTACATACTGCACCTTTAAAAACACCATCAAACACAAATACAATACACGCAGTACAGTGTACTCACCTGAGCTAGTGTAGGATTTTGCTGCAGCTTGAAGAACTTGCTGATAAAGTCCTGTTCAGCCAGACACAGTGGCTCCAGCTCACTCAAAACCTGCTCAAAGATCTAGAAAACAGCACACAGAAAAGGCCACAAACTCTTAATGGACATATGTACACTACCGTTCAAAGGTTTGGAGTTCATAGTTTTTGGAGTTTTTTTTTCTTGTTGAATATTTTATTTTCGCTTTGTACTGTTATACAACAGACAATACAAGACAAAGAAAAAGACAACAGGACTGGACTTTAGCTTTTCTAAAGGTATACAATTATTAACCTCCATGAACCACAGACTAATTTTAATAACAGTATCTGATTTCCACTTCTTGGCAAATAATACGTTTGAACTGGTGAAATTACCCAATAAACATTTATCTGGGTCTACTGGGAAGGTGAATCCATGTATAACAGATATAATACTACATTTGTTTTTTGCCAGAACACAGTAAATTAAATCAGTCATAGTGTCGGTCTAGATCTAGAGTTAAAATAAGATGTGATTCCTTCCTTGCTTGCATAGTATACTCCAAACTTTTCTATTTGTGCAAGTGCCTAAATCATGTTCCCATCTAATTTTAGATTTGTCTAATTCAGCTTGAGGTTTATTTGTCATCAGGTAATTATATATTCTGGAGATTATTTCTTCACATAAAAGAGTTACTCCAGCTGTAAAACTAGGCAATTTCAGTTGGGTTGGTAGGATTTTATAATATGTTTAAAAGAAGTGTCTTATGCTCACCAAGTCTGCATTTATTTTGATCAAAACTACAGTTTCAATGTATTATAAATGCTATGTATTCCTGTGATGGCAAAGCTAAATTTTCAGCATCATTATTACAGTCTTCAGTGTCACATGATCCTTTAGAAAACAATCTAAAATGCTGATTTGGTCCTCAAGAAATATTCCTTATGATTATCAAATGTTGAAAACAGTTGCATTATTTTTCTGTAGAAAGCATGATACATTTGTTACTTTTCTATAGTGACCAGATAAAAAATAGCATTTTTAAAAAATAGAACTTTTGTAACATTATAAAGGTCCTTTACTGTCATTTTTGATTAAATTTAATATGTCCTTGCTCAA